TGTGGTACTTTTGGCTTTCCATACAGCTAAACTTTTTTCTTTATTAATCATATTTATTACCTTAGAAGTTCCCCACGTTTTATTGTGTGTATTTCAGGGTTCAGTTGTAATGGGATTACGCTGTGCTTCTTACCGGTACACATTCCAGCTTGTTGTGCCGGCCCGTTTTCTTTGACACTTTTCACAAAAATGGTGTCCATCGGCTCCAAGCAGGATCGCTGACTGTCCGCTTTAAGGAAACACAGATAGAGGGAGGTGTAAAAATATGGAGTGAATTTTGTTCCATTATTGTTGCATCCCAGAAACTCTGGAGTGAGGAGCAAACATGCATTTCTATTGGTTCCCACTGCAGGCCTTAATGCTCAATTCCGATTTTTTTGTGTGGCCGTTCACATTTCCAAATATATGCAACTTGTAAGTGATTAAGTGTCCCACATGCGTAGTAGAGGACGCAATAACATCACAAACCAGCCTGCTCTGTGTTTATGGAGGTAAACATGGATGGTAGCACTGGAACAGATCTAACAATCTTTCCCAACCTTAAAAACACAATCTTTTCGAGATGTTTAAACATAAATACTACTCTCTGCATCATCGTCCTCAACGGTGGATGTTTTTCTTGCCGTTTCTGCGTAGCAAGACGCAAAATGGTGACCTTTGTCGAGTATTAATGGCGTTCAGGTTGGATGAATGAGACCTGGCCGTTCAGCAGAGGTGTCAAGTAACAAAGTACAAATACTTTGTTACTGTACTTAAGTACACTTTTTACATATCTACACTTTACTCCATTACTTATTTTTCTTTGGACTTCTTCTCATTACATTTTAACATAAGTATCTGTACTTTCTATTCCTTACATTTTTAAAACAAACGTGACTCGTTACTCTTGGCTTCGGTTTAATGTTTATAAATATTTTTTCCCATCATGTGCTCCATCCAATGCAGATCATTGGCTCCATCCACATCTAGTGAAAACTAGTGTAATTGGTTGAGTCATAGAACGCAAACACTCATTGGTTAGCTAAAGGAAATCATCAGAAGCAAGCAGGTGTTCTTCAAACTGCTAACATTAATTTGTCTATGCCATGCTACAATGAAAGATTCAGAAAAAGATGTTGAAATGTCTGAAAGGTCGGACACAGGCGAGAGCGTATCGGGAGACGGAGACCAACCAGCCCTCCCTCATCCTTGGCCCTATCTCAAAGAATTTTTAGAAATAGTCGAAAAATTTTGCTTTCAATTCATTAAGTGGCATCTGGCTGTTTTTTAAAGGTTACTTTATACTTTTATACTTTAAGTCGTTTTTGGAGATCATACTTTTTCACTTTTACTTAAGTAAAGAGGTCAAGTTAATACTTCAACTTTTACCAGAGTGTTTTTAAACTGCAATATCTATACTTCTAGATAACAAATGTGTGAACTTTTGACACCACTGCCGTTCAGACGCAGCTCGCATTTGAAAAGATCAGATTCATATCGGATTCAGGCCCACAGAGCCAAGTGTCCTGCGTTGTGTTGGAAAACATCAGATCTGAGTTGTTCAGACTGATTAGATCAGATCCAGATCACATATTAGCAAAAAAGTCAGATTTGGATCACTTCAGGCTGCTGTGTGAACGTAGCCTATGTTCCCCTTATCAGCATAAGCTTTGGTTTAGACTAGCCTGCCATTCTTTTTTAAGAGGTTAATAAATAAAAATTCAATATAAATATTGCAATGAAATGAACTACCATAGATTATTTTCAGTTATTTTCCGATTTCAACATCTTCATCGATACCTTTAAAAAACAAACTTTACTTCTAACAGGTTGTATCTTATACAGTGAAAATCAGATTTCTTCTACCAGATTACAGGTTGATTGAGGTGATAAAAGCACAGCGGTTATTAATAAATAAAACCGATCTTAACACAGGGTTGTGGCTCTTGAAGTCGACAGAAACATGGACCACTCACCTTTTCCTGGTAAGTTACCGTTTTCTTCATCCTGTGGAAAAGAAAAACAGATTCTGTTAGGCAGGATGGGCAACGAGGTGCCGATGACCTCCGTTTACCTCCTAAGCAGGGGCGTCATGAAAGACATTGATATTGGTCCCCCCATCCCCCAAAAAAAAGTTGATGCGAGCTTTAAAACTGCTATAAAGATGCACCAGAGAGCAGAATTTACACAGCATATAATTATATAAATCAACTTTAAAATTTACATTAAAAATCTTCCTTTTAAAATACTAACAGCTTATTTAGAGGAAGAAAAAAACAGCTGTATCTATGGACACATGAAAAAAAAATACGTTTTTGATTTTAGAAAATATATTCCTATTAGGTTTCACTATACCTTTAAACAACGGACTGCTTTAGGCTGCTCATGAGAATAATCCAGATTTGTAGATGTTGTTTTAATGGCTGTAATTAAATCTGAATATAAAAATCGCACTTATTGACAGTGATTTAAATACAGGCTGCTAAGGGAACCAGTACAAACAAATGGAGGCCCTTTTTATTTTATAGTGCTCATTATGTAGATAAAATATATATTTTTTAAAGGTTTAAATATATAAAAAGTTAAATTTTAAGTTTGAAGTGGTAAAAATACTGAAAATCCCACAAACTCTGTAATGATGATAATTTCCTGTCCATGAAGATGTGGCTCATCTTCTTCACTGGGACGGAGGGGTAACAGGGCTGATGGTTGATGATGTGTTTACATGATGACAGGTATTTAATGTAATTATCCTGCTAAACATCTACTAGAGCTTAGTTGATGTTAACCCTCAAAAGACTATAGAGTTTTCCTGATGCCTCATCTGGTTGGTAGCCATTCAAAATTTTCCTACTTTCCTTGATGGGTTTTTGGCTGGTTCTTGGCTGGTTCTTGGCTGATCCTTGGCTGGTCCTTTGTTGTTCCTTGGCAAGTCCTTGGCTGGTTCTTGGCTGATCCTTGGCTGGTCCTTTGTTGTTCCTTGGCAAGTCCTTGGCTG